TTGTCTCTGCTTTGCAATCTTCCCAGGCAGACTAAGTCTTTCCCAAAGAAAGAGAAAGATGTACATTTCTGAGGATAAGGTTCAATTTTCTCCTCAGTGAAAAAAAGGAAAAACTACATTTTGGGAAGAGAGAACGGGGCCACTCCTTTAGGGCAAGACAAAATGTGTTTTACTGACCTGGAGACGCCTCTTCTAGATGAGGTGTCATCTTCTATTCAGCATCCAACAGTTAACAGCTCCTGATGAACAGGAGTGTCCTGATGAACACAGCTGCCTGTTACAAAAACTGTTGATTAGTTTCCTGTGTGTTGACATGACTGTTGCTGACTAGAGACACTGAATGGGAGATGCTAGGGCAGCTGGTTACTGGTGCTGACTGAAGCAAGGCAGGGTGCACTTCCCTTTTGCTCATGTACCCGAGAGTAGGGTCACAGGAACATGGGAACCACCAAGAGGTGGATCAGGCTGCTAAGACTGAAGTGGCTGTAATTAAAACTGCAAATGTCAAGGTGAACACGAGACAGCCTATGTTTGTGCAAGCATTATTGTAGTCCCTCAGGGCTGGAGGTAGTCGGTGGATGCTTCTCATCTGCCTCTGTAATGCCATCCTCCCCCAAGAGTTCTGCCCAACTCCTTTTGTTGCCAGTGTAAATACTTTGCCTGCACTGGAAATATTCTTGTGCTTTTAGGTAACATTCAGGAAAGGAGTACATAGATTTTGTGTGTTGGGGAAAAAAAAGTCAATTTTACTTGATGATCAAGAACCAGGGTTTAGCAGGAATTTTTGCTTTTAAATACACCTTTTTCATTATTTTGAAACGCCTAGTGTTGTCACATGTACTCACTGGCATTTAAATGGACAATCATTCATTATGGTCTTTGTATCTTACCCGAAGGGCAATGATTAAGAATTGTAAGCTAATTGCTCTCAGGAGAGAAATTAGTACTACTGTGTGCTCAGAAGGGAAACAGGAATTCTGAGTAGGCTGTGCATCCTGTACACAACATTTTCTGGCATTACAAGTACTGTTGACTGTTGCTTGCTTTTAAAATTTTTTCAGAGATGAAAAAGGAATTTAACAAATAAGTTTTGTTCACATTAATGTCAATAAAGCACTTCACTTGTGTAATTTTTGGAGCATTCATTTGTATTGTTGTGACTAGTAATTTGCATTAATGAAGCTGCACTAACGTTTTAGACTGTTGGGTGCTGCAATGGAAGTGTGCTCACAAAACCAGAGGCACAAAGACTGAACTGCGTGTCTGTGTGGTACAGAGTCTGACCATGCACTGGGGTGCAGGGCTGGGTTGGCATACTTCATGAAAACACAGCACTGCTTCTGTTTCCCTGAAAATGACTTAATCCTTTGTATAGTGTGTTTCAACAAAAATTTCTAACTGGAATTTTTCAGCAAAATAATCACCTAGTTTCTGAAAACTCATATGCTTTTGTCTGAATCTTTTAGATGCTTCCCTACA